GGCTCTGCGTCTCCCTGCTCTGCGGGGGCGGAGGGGGTGCAGCTAGTGTGCCTCCCCTCTCCCCCCCCCCTTAGCAGACCAGGCTTTTCTCGCTGACGACGCCTGGGGCAGAGCAGCTGGGGTGCTGCTGGGTTGGTCCCTGCAGGGCTGAGGTACGGCGCTGCGGGGACCTACCTGGCAGCGCCCCAGCTGCTCTGTCCCAGGCGTCCAAATTCAGCAGCTGTTGAAACTGATCAGCGGCTGATTCCAGGAAGCCCAGTGCAGAGCAACTCTGCCTCGGGCTTCCTGTAGTCAGCCGCTGGTCTGTTTCAGCAGTGGCTGAATCTGGACGCCAGTTCCGACTTAAATACAAATTCAACTTTAAGAACAAACCTACAGTCCCTATCTTGTACGTAACCCGGGGACTACCTGTACTCCTTCCTTAATCCTTGGATTCAAGTTGCAGAGTTTTAAAAGCCTCTGTCTCCTTAATCAGTGGCTTTCACTGCCTGCAGTTAGTTGTTTGTTGGGAAGACTTGAGTTCCCTTATCAGAGCAGCTAAAATTCTAAATTTAGAAAACACGTGTTTATGGCATTTTATCGGTTTACTTTCTCTCCTCGGATGTATATTTTCTTACAAATTGGTATTGGTTGATGATGCTACCAGGTCAGAGTTGCCGATAGAATTGCTGAGCCTTCAGGGAAGGTTGTGGTAGGGGTGGCTCTGTAGTGGTAGGGGTGGCTCTGCGCTCCTAGAAGAGGCGAGACAGAATATTCAGCCCTCAGCATTGCCCAGACCATGCTGCACCCCTTCCTACCCCAAACAACCATCCCTCAGGGCCCAGGACTCCAGTTGCTTATGCAACAGCAACAACTGCCCCCTTTGTGCTGTGCCATCCCTCCCCCCCCCCATTTCCTCCCTCCTATCTCCTACCCCCATCTGAGGGGTTGCACCAGGTTACAGAAGTAAAAGTTAATTGTAGCTCAAAAATATTACTTTATTTTTGGGAGGAACAAACTGTGCTGTTAAGTTCATTTTTTATGGTGAGACTCCATCAAACTCCTCTGCAGTCCAGCTCAGTGTGTACTAAAATATCCCTCCTTCCTTCCCCAGGACCTTCATTGCTGGCATATCACCCAGCCAGGAGAAGTGGATAAGAGTCTCTTTGGAACCCATGAACTTCTCTGACAGGTAGGAGTTGCTCGGTAGTGCTAAGTTCTACTGTGCTAAGTAGCATCTTGCAAACTCAAACATCTGGGACGTAGGGAGAAAAGTCAGTTTTCCACTTCTTAAAATAGGGAACCAAGGCACAGAGAAGTTAAATTACTTGCCTGAGGTGGCAGAGGAAGTATGAAATTCAGGAGCACTGGATTCACAGCTCTGGTGATGTAACAACGAGAACATCTTACTTCATTGGGGTTTGATTAACTAGAGAGGAAAGTGAATATCCCTAATTTACAAATGGGCAAACTGAGACCGAGACATTTCAGCCAGTTGTCCTCACTACTACTTCCCAGTTGAGCAAAGCACTGCAGCTGCACTGAGTTTTCAGTCCCTGTGAACATGAGAAGTAGGAAAGCAAGCACAAATTCCACTTGTCCCGGATCTTGACCAGAGTAATCTGTGTGGCTTAAAGGAAAGTGAGTATGAATGGGAATGGAATTCCTGAGTTCTTGTCTCTGCTGTGTACCTTTTTGGGCAAGTCAGTCAAGCCTCTGGATCTGATTCTCTATCTGTAAATTAGGGAGATTCACCTTATGGATGTAAAAAATTATACAAAAATATTAACTGTGACACTGATAGAATTGTAATCAGTTACACTGTTAACTGGAGGGCGTGGCTGCCTGCCACTGGCTGTAGAGAGGGGACCCACAGTGTGAGTGAGGGGGCACTCCAGTCCAGTTCATCCCTCCCCCCAGCTTGTGGTTTGGTGGGCCCTCTGGTCAGACTGGAGCACCCCCTCACCTGTACTGTGATGCGGGCAGGGAGGTGAGCTAGGTGTTGGTTAACCGCTTACCAGTAAGCATCACCCGGTATGGTTACCTGTTAACCGGTTACCCATTTACGTTTCTAATTAGCCTAACTCATTATGATGTTTAACACAGTCACGCTCATTAAATTGTATAAAGCACTATTTAGCAATTACTCTTCCTTTACAGTGTCTGAAGGGCCAATGGTTTAGTTTTTATTTAGTAATGAGAACTGAAAGGGACCTTGAGATGTTATCAAGTCCAGGCCACTGCCATCACGGCAAGATCAAGCACCATCAAGACCATCCCTGACAGGTGTCTGTCTAACCTGCTCTTCAATCTCTCCAGTGATGGAGATTCCACAATCTCCCTAGGCAATTTATTCCAGTGCTTCACCACCCTGACAGGCAGGAAGCTTTTCCTAATGTCCAACCTAAACCTCCCTTGCTGCAGTTTAATGAGACTTAGTTTTATCTGATTTTACAGAGGAAGAGACTAACTTTCGTGATTTGCTTTGAGAGCCTTCCGTATAGGGCATTGTATCAGTACAGATTTGTTAGCCCTTTCGTTATCGTTAACTAGCTGGAGTTACCCAGCGTTGCTCAGGAAAGTTGATATAACTGAGGTGAGGAGCCTGAGGGGAAAGGGAGCCATGTGCCTGCTGCTGGTGCCTGAGCCTGCCCTCGCTTCCTTGTCCCTCCGCCAGCCTTAGTGAGTGTCTGTCCCCGCCGCTTCCCCTGGGAAGCCGCTTCTCCCCGCACTGTCAGGCTCTGTGCAGCACTGGGGAGAGGCATTGGTCTTTCATCTCTTCCCTCCCACAGTACCTTAAAACCTTCTCCTGGATGAAAGGTTATCCCATGCAAAGTTTGGTTGCGGAAGCTCTTATAGTGTCCAAGTTATTAGCGCACAAACTTACAAACATTCTCCTTTATATATTAGTTAGATTTCTAGCTGACTCTGTTCTCTAACCCAGTGTAACAATATTTAAACGTTTGTTTAATTTTCTCATGACTGTGATTCACTCAATCACTTTATTCTAGCTGTCCATGCTCTACTGCAGAATGCAATCTTGGGCTATCAGTTGCTGTTGCAAAAATTTCAAAGTTGCTTCATTGTTAGCTGTCACCAGTGGTAAAATAGCTGAGACTGTACTTGGGTCACACCTTAGCCTTCTCTCTGTTGCACTCAAAGAAATGTCTATTTAGCTTATTGCTATAAGGCACATTCTTGTATCTTTTTGGTCATTCTCCTGACTCTTCTTTGGGTCCTCTCCAATTTATCAAAGTCCTTTCTTGTATTCTGGGGACACGTTCATCTTGCCCTCCATCATGGGGGACAGACTAGCTGACCTCTTAAGGTATCCCTTCCAGTCCTACATTGCTATGATTCTGTAGCTGTCCTCTTAATAAAACAAATTGCAGATTTTTTTTCCCTAAACCTGACAGGTGCATTTATAAATGGTTCTGTTCCTAGTTAACAAAACAAATCCAGATCCTGCCATCTGTTATATATAATGCAATCCTCACTTTTTTCCCAAGCATTTTAAAAATTAACTTTGCACACAATTTTAAAAGCAACATGTTACAAACAAGCCAGCAAAGGTGAGGCATCACCAGTCTTATGGTATGACTCCCATCATCTGCCTCTTGTGTTTTTCCCAAATCTGGACTGTATAGCACGATGAAAAAAATCTTGACACACAAGTGAATTGGGTTTTTTTTTTTGTGGGTTGAAGTGGGTGGGGTTGGGGATGGGGGGGGGGGAATTTCTTCACGGCCCTGCTCTTCTGTCTTTGGCATTTTATCTCCTGAACTGAGCTGAACACCCTGAAACTATCAAATAAATAATGGCTTAATTAAGAATCCTAAGAAAATGGTACCTCTAGACCAGGTCCTTCTGCAATGATGTACTCAGTTCAAATTCAGGTAGTTTGTGTGTATATATAGAGAAATTCCTATTCTCTCTTCTCTTCCCCCCCCCCCCCCCTTTTCATTTCAGTGTGCATTACAGAGATCACTAGATAAGCTCTTGATTTCCTAGTAGTATTTGTTGCTGTGACACTTAACTTTTACTCCTAGCAAGTGAAAAATCTTTTAAAATGTTATGTACCCACATCTCCATAGCACTGAGAGTCTCAGTAGGGATGTAAAATCCCATTAAATTGGCTAACTCCACATTTCTCAAATTGTGGGACCTGACCCCCCTGGGGGGGTTGCGGTATCACAAAATTTGAGATTCCCTGGGCTAACTGGTAAAACCTGAAGTTTGGTTAACCAGTTAATGTGGGGGGGGAGGGGAGGAGGAGGAAGAGTGCGCTGCGGACTGTCTTCTGGCTGAGTGTTGAACATCCATGTTATCAAAATACCTGGGGGTAATGTCTCTGTCTTCCAAAATCACAGTGGAAATATATTAAATGGCTCTCCTATAATTCATAACTGGAAAGACATATACAATAGCATCTTGAAGTTGGAATATTTAGCAATTTTCAGATGGGTTCTGCAATTAATTTATAGTTAAAACCAGAAAAATATATTACATGTTTAGATACTAACATTTCATGAGGATACCTTGTTTTCTGTTAATGAAAGTTCCATGCCTAAACATTCTGTACATTGAGTCGATTTGGATTATAAGGCTTCTTAAAACATGGTGCCAAATTCTGCTTTCAATGTAACGGTGCAGCTCCACTGGCTTAAATGGGTCATGCCAGTATAATGGTACAGGTTGACCCTCTCTGGTCTGGCACCTCAGGACCAGACCAATGCCAAACCAGAGAATTTGCTGAACTACGAGAGGTCAATATTGTTTAACAGCATTACCAACACTTGCAAATCTTAGGGGTAAATTAGAGCTAAATAACAGCATAGAACACTGAAAGCCAGGACTGATCACTGTAAGCAAACTTTATGGGAAATTTGGCAACACCCAGGATAAGTGGACATCCAGCTATCTAAAATCATTCTGGACTACAGATATTGCCAGACTAGAGAGGTTCAAGCTGTAATACAGTTTGGACCACAGACACTGGTATTGTTACTGCATGAGTTTTCAACTATGTTCTTGTCCTTTTACCATTCAAAGTATAGACGTTTGAAGCTTTGAGGTTGATTTGAGAAGAAATACATAAGGGATGTTCTACAATAATTTTAGTCAAGTTTAAATTTGACAGCTGAATTACTTCATCATAATAACCAATCTTCTAAAAGAATTGTGAGTTGTGTTGTGGACACAATGTTTATATTAAGTCCACATCATGTTGCTTAATCACTGGGAAGCAAATAAAGCCAGCTTTAACAATATAGGATAAAGCAAGGTATAGCATGAATGGATTAGTAGTGAGTTTACTGTAGCAAAGCCTAAGACTGAAAAAATTCTTCCGTATAAAGCATTAAAGCAGAGCAGTGTGTCTGTCTTTAGCTAATTTGTTGGATTGGTGTAATGCTTTCTGCAATAGTTGAAATCTAATGGCAGATCATAAATGCTCTGCTTGCATGATTACTTTTTACCTTGCTAGCAAGGTTATGGTGACTTTAAAAGTTTTTTTTTTTTTATTGCTGAGTCTTGGCATTTTTTGCATAAAGTGTGCATGACAACTTCCTAAGCAAGCTTTCTGTTGCTTTTAATCATACGTATTTAATGAGCCTAAGCAAGCTCACTTATTTTCCTTGAAAGCTATACAAATTCATAACCCAAAAGGTGATTCCCTGAAGAGACTGGTGTGTTCATTTCTGACTCAGGCATGGTGAAAGTATGGGACACAAAGGGTTAAGGTCTGCCATTTTGTTATGTAACACCCTTAATGGACATATCAGTGAATGGCACCAAAATGGCAGGGCTTAACCCTTTGTGAGCTGTAATGCCTCAGTCAAACATGCACCTCAGAAGCTAAGTTTGTTCTTTAAAACGGGGACTTGAATTTTTTAAAGATTTGTTTTAAGTAGCCACGTGGCCAGCTGACATTCTTTTTTGCTTGTCACAATACCAGAAAACTTAAACATTTTTAATATTTTGTTTTAGTTTTTTAAGCTAGACATAGTCACTTTCATGCCATAAGGCTAATGATCTTTTCTTTAGTTGCTACTTTTCTTATTATTGATGCAATAAAGAAAGGATTTTGAGTTACCTGACTGCCATCCATCTCCAGTCGCAGGCATAAAGTGACCAATGTTCTATTCCTAGATTGATTTATTTAAAAAAAAAATCTGTTTTCCTGTTTTTAAA